GAATGTTACCTTTGGAGGAGCTTTCCATCGTGGATTGGAGTTTTTGGGTTGCTTCCTTTGGGCTTGTTAAGGTGAATTCTACGGAGAATTAAGGAGAAATGAGAGTTTATGAGGAATTACGAAATTTTTAGTATTTGGGATAGTTCGTGTGGAATTCGAATAAAAATGGTACCTTTCGAGAAGCTTTGGGTTTCTTCTTTTGGACTCGTTAAGTTGAATTCTGCGGGGAATTAATTAGAAATGAGAGTCTACAGGAATTACGAAATTTTGGATTATTAGGATAGTTCATATGGAATTCGAATGTGAATATTACCTTTGGAGAAGCTTTGGGTTTCTTCTTTTGGGCTCGTTAAGGAAATTCGAGGTCGATGGAATCGTTGGTTTACTCGCTGGCACTTGTCGGGCGTAGGATTTCTCTTTTTCCAAAATGGAACGTCATGATATTGTGAAGCGGAGGGGATTACGTAAATGTTTTATCAACCTGTGAAATTACAAGTTATGGGGCAATGATGCAAGGGATTGGTTGAATGATCCCAGTAAAAAGTTCTCCGGGAGAAAATGGATTTGTTCCGTGCCTGTTTTTCCGAGTCGGCTTTGCAGAATCGAAATTTCTATCTCTCCTTTGGAAAGAGCAATGACAAAGGAGTAATCAATGTAATCAGTGTCACAAAACAGAGCCGCTGGGAACGTGGGAGTAACGAAGGAACGACCTTCTACAGACATTCTCCTACGTATCCTGATTAGCAATTCTTTAGCGACCTATTCATTCAAGTCCTTATCTTGCGATAGTCCCGCGAGAAGCCATCCTTGAAAAGCCTTTTTCACGACTTCACTCTGACCGGTTAACATTATTTCTACTAAACTGTCAAAGGACTGCTTTCGAATTTTTATAATTATTTCCAGAGTTCAGTCGTACATTCTGAATTGATTTTCTGACTTCAATTATAAAATTAATAGGAAATCTCCAACATTCAATTGAGGAGAAATAATTAAACTGAAATCATTTGAAGTTTCAAGTGTCAATTGAATTTCAGTAGAAATAGTATTACAGAGAATACATTTGTTCACCAAAACTATAATCTAGCAATCAAACTTCCCTTAATTTTTCCATAGGAACCATAAGATTGAAAAATCCAAGTGACCATTTTTCATACAATATTTCTCTACCTCCACTTGGGGTTCCTAATCCAAATAATAATGTTAATACTAAATTTGCAGAATACCTCAACTAAACAAATATTCAATTTTACAAGCATAAGTTAAATAGATCTATGAATGTTCATATTATGTTATCAGACATATGAAATCAATTGAAGTTTCTATTAAATAATCTCTATTAAATAATCTCTAATATCTGTCCAGTTGAATTCTATAAATTCAACAAAAACCTTCAATGTTACATCTCAAACAGTACATAATAAACATTCATAAATCTATCAACATTTCCTCCTCGATTCTCAAGTTCACTCCTGCGCCTTGCAAAAATTTTCCCCATTGCCCGACGCGCAAACGTTTTGTGGAACGAGCGAGACTTTTCTCGGGACACCGTTGAAAGTTCCATCGATGCCCCGTGGACGTGTCGTAAATAAAGCTGACACAGATAAAAGGGAGAAGCCGGAGGAAGCAACGGGCCGACACTGAAGCGCTTGGCAAATTAGGTTCCGCGGCGGTTTCACTGGTGTTTACATAAGTTTTCGTCGTCTACGTATATGGCGTACCGTGAACCACGGCACACCGGGATCTGAATTCCCAGTGGATGTGTGCGTGCATGGTACACGGCCGATGGAAACGTTGCACCTGAACGATTTACCACAACGTCATTGCCAGCGCGGTACCTTCACTTTCCACTCCGACGCTGAACCGATCTTTTTGGCATCCATGCACGCGAGACTGTCTTTATCAAACGGCTACGCGCATTTTTTCCTTCGTTCGAGACGCAAATAATTTTCTGATTTTTTTACAATCGAATTCGATACTTCTCTTTGTTCGTTTTCCATGAGAGACATTCGGGAATCATTATTGAAACGAATGGGTGATTGGAATGTCTAGTTTACTTCCTCCGAGACGCAAATAATTTTCCGATTTTTTTATAATCGAATTCAATACTTTGTTCGTTTGAAATCTTGATGATTTTTCCATGAGGCATTCGGGAATCATTATTGAACGAATGGGTAATTGGAATTTCTAGTTTACTTCCTCCGAGACGCAAATAATTTTCCATTTCTTTTTTACCATAGAATTCCATACTTCTCTTTGTTCATTTGAAATCTTGAATGATGATTTTTCTAACTGAAATTTCTAGTTTAATTTGTCTTTGTTCTTCAAATTTTCATTTCTATAGCTTAGGTAAATATCCATGAATGTTCGCTGGAAAATAGTTGGAATAGAGAATCGAGGTACTGGTAAATATAATTGGTATTACGTGATCCCATTATTGTTACCGAAACGGTGATCGGATTACTGCCGGTTGTAAAACTCCCGTGAAACGTCTGTTTCATCTTGAACGGCTGGAGGATCACGGGAAATATCTTCCAGAGACACTACTTTCTCCTAATGGCTCATCTCGGCGAGATTTCAACATTCTCGAATCGGATCTTCTTCGAGGCTTCGTTGCATTATAATATTATCGACGATGAATGTTTTTTTAGCAATCTTCTGTTTATCAATTGATTCGAATATTGATTCTATAAATTTGAGAATCTTCTGTTTGGCAATTTGTTAAGAAATAGTTTCATCAAAACATGGTTTCCACAGTTATATATACATATATATAATAATAATAATAATAATAATAATAATAATAATAATAATAATAATATACTTATAATATTTTGTTTATATATTATTATTATTATTATTATTATTATATATATGTATATATTTTTATAATATTTTGTTTATATATATTATTATATATATTATATAACAAAATCCATAGTCTGATGAAGAATTTCTTTGACAAAAATAACAGAAACGGTTATATTGAAGAATTTTGGTAAAATGGAACTATTTCAAATGGAATTTAAATTGAAGACGGTACTATTTCGATGAGACAAGGCGTGGAAGATTTCTTCCGATGATAATGAACGCAGGATACCTTCCTAAAAGAAGCCACACCTTCAGACGACGGGGAGACGATTGCATCAGGTTACGCCCTTTTACTATATGCCTGGAATAAAAAGTGTCCCAGCAATTACAGATTCCTCTCATGATTACTGAACACAGTCGTTTCAAGAACGTCGTGTCGCTTAATGATGGCGTATCAAGTCCAACGAGTAAGCGACGCATGATTGAAAAAATACCTAACGGTTTAAATAGTCAATATCATTCCAGTCATTCGTTACAAGGAAACAATTTAATATTCTATAAGCGTTATCCTTCGATTAACTTTGAGAAAATCTTCATTTTAGGGACATCAAACTTTCGTATCTGGAATCCAAAGTTGAAAACGAATAATTGGATTATTTGAATTACTAGAGTCTACTTTGTAATTGAGGTGGACGTGCAACGAGACATGTCGTGGCATGTTTACAAACAAGTCTTTATCTGTTCTTAGAGCTTAGAGTTCTTAGAGTTCTTAGAGTTCTTAGAGTTCTTAGAGCTTAGGCTTCTTAGGGCTTAGGGTTCTTAGAGCTTAGAGTTCTTAGAGCTTAGGCTTCTTAGGGCTTAGGGTTCTTAGAGCTTAGGCTTCTTAGAGCTTAGGGTTCTTAGA